TTTAAATATCCTAGGGTTGGATGAACTGAAGGGTTTAAATATCCTAAGGTTGGATGAACTGAAGGGTTTAAAGGATTGAGATATTACAGGAATGAGTTGTGAAAGATTAACAGTTTGGAATGCAAACAGACGAATATAGATTAACTAACAAACAGACAAATATGCAGACAAATGTTATAATTAAACAAAAATTTACAAAAATCAGAGACATTTTAGAACTAGCTTCGGAAAGGAAACCAGATAGAAAAGATGAAAACAAAAAAACGATACAAAATTTAAACAATTAATCGCATTATAGTTATAAAAATATATCCTATTGTCATTCTATATTTGTCAACATGTGTCCAAAAATAAACATGTTGCATTTTATGCAGGATTGACAGAACTGCCGAACGGAGTGATATTTAATCCTAAAAAGTATAGATTGTAAAAAAATTATAAAAATGAATGCTACCTTCCATCCTGCTGAACTATTACTATCTCCTTTATCCTTGAAGTAGGGTATATTCTGAACCATCCAGTCGTAGACCTGGCTCAACGTTAACCTCTTCTCTGGGGAGGAGAGGATCGCCTGGGTGATCAGATCGGCGTAGGAGAGATTTCCCCAGGCGTTACGGCGGGATGTACTTTTCTTAGAGGCGTTTCCCGCCCCTTCCCCACCCTTGTGCATCATATCAGGAGTGAAGTCAAGGGGAGTGGGCGGGCCCTCGGGAAAAGGAGAGGTTTGAGGTCCGTTATAAGGCGGTCCATAATCTTCAGGGTCCAAGTACTCCCGGACCCTGTGCCCGTTCTCTAACTTCACACGGCGTTCATCGCCATATTCATCAGGGTGTAAACCGCCCCATTGGTGGCGGGGACCACAATCCGGCGGGGAGAGAATTTTAGTGTCCCAAGGTTTTAACTCGTTGTCCCAATGTTTATGTTCCACGCCAACCTCTTCTTTGAGGTCTAGTGCGTGTCCGGGAGGTACTCCACCCCCGCCCAGCTGTTCAATAGGGAGTTCCTGAATTAAGAAGAAAAAAATTAAAACTAGCTAAAGTAACATTTTTTATTGATTAAAGAGAGTGTACGCGTAACTTCAAGCGACCTAGCAATGCCTGAGAAATTTTTTTATACTGCTAATTTTCTTTACAATTTGCGACTTGCGCACATTTATTGTAGGAAAAAATATATTACACATTTTCTATGAATTAAAGGTTTCAAGGGAACCGCGTAGTGAATCAATGGTACCGCGTAGTGAATCAAGGGTACCAGAGTGAATCAGGCGTGGACATCTTTGCATATATGGACGTTCACTTGTCACTTCAAATTCCGCTTACATCCCTTTTAAAAAGAAAAAAATATCATTTATTTTTCCACTGAAAAAAAAACAATTTGTAAGTATAAAGTATTCACGTGTTAAAGTTATTTATTACACCAATCTAAGAAGCCTAAATGAAAAGAAAACATACATCATACCGATTTTTGAAAATGAAAAAATTTCTTTTAATGAATATCAAAAAAAAAATCAGAAGCCAATTAAATATAACAGGTTTGCAGTTGCACTCTTTATACAATTGAAATATTTTGAAAAAAACCACCCAATCAAGCTATGATAAGAAGAAAGCCAAAAAACTAATTTTTTTCCCCCTATATTTTTGCAGCCGAATGTCATAAACCTTTAAAATTTCGAACCTTTGGATTTTGTTAGATCAAATAGTCACAGTTTGAATTATCGAAGGTTTGCACCATCAGGTTGCAAGGACTTGAGGAGTACAAAATTTTATTTGTTGGCAAAAACTCAGTTCCTTCCCAAAACTTAAAAAAATAATTCTAAAAATGAAAAGAGAAAATCAACTAGAATAGGTGACTGGACGCTATCTAGAAAAATGAATATTTAAAAAGTAAATTTGTAAAGATGTTCAAAGATAATCCATTCTCGGCTGTCAAAATTAGTTCGACACTGATTCACCTAATCTAACAGCGGCCAACAGCCTGTCTGTCAATTTCAGGTTAAAATTTGCGCAACACAAAAAATATAATGATGAGTAGAAAAGAAGTGATTCTTGTTTTGAATATCCAATGTTTTGGTTTATTTTCATTCATGGAAAAATCCTTCAGGTAAAAAAAGTCGGCAAATCAACAAAAAAGATAAAAATGGGTTTAAAAAGATTTTATTCGTATACCTTAAAATGTCAGTTTTTTTGCTTAGTAAAAAACTTCAGGTCAAAGGAAATGAGTCTTTGCCACAAACTATGATTTTCTGATTCGTATATCTTTGCAACCTGATGTTTTTCAGCCTGTGATATTTCAAACTTAGATTACTTGGTATATCAGAATTCATAGTTTGAAATATCTAAGATTTACGACATAGGGTTGCAAAAATATACGAATTATAAAATCATTGTTTGTGGCAAAAACTCATTCCTTTGCAAAATCAAAATAAAAAGATAATAATGATTTCATTTCTGATAAATTTACACGTTTTTTTATTTCTTTCTTACAAGGGTAAAAAAATTCAGATAAAAGTTGGGATAGCAAAATAAGGGTGTGATTAAAAAACAGATTTAAACCTTGATTAAATCTTAAAAGTGTTGGTATATTTTGAATCATGTAATTGGTGTAACATAAAAGATCTATTTTATATCTTGAATATAAGTATGTTTTTATTTTGAATGTAATAAGTGTAACAAAAAAAATTAAAAAGAAAGTTCAGAAACTTTTAAGTGACAAAAAAAGAAGAAATCAAAAAAAGGTTGAAAGCTATATGATAAAGAAAGAAAATAAAAAAAAACAAAAAGGTCATGTTTATTGCTAATCCTAGTTTTAAACTTCAGATAAAAACAAACCGAAATAAAAATTTTAAAAAAATTCAAAAGCTTTTATCATTACCTGCATCATCATTATCTAGAATGTTTAGTTGTCAACATATTTAGGGGAAATATTATCCATTAAACACTTCACTTTTTCAAACCACTTTTTTAACTTTTTTCAGGTGTTTAGAATTATAACATTTGAGCCAGAACTGTGGCTTTTAACTGGTTTCTTAAAACAAGAACGAAATTGTTTAATTTCTTATTTTATAAGTATTTATTCTTGATTCCGAACAACCGCAAGGCTTCGAGGATAGACCACTAACTGAAAGGGGAAAAGTTAAGTCCGTGAGTCCGTGCCGGGTCGGGGGCTGGTGGCGGACCGGCTCCGTGAACCTGGGCTGACAGGGCCGGATCTCCAGGTTAGCAAGGAGGGAGGTAGGGACGGGTCGGGAGAAAAATCGTCCCTACGGAGTAAAACCAGCGGTATTACGACATATCCTGAAGTTTTCTTTTTTCTTTTTAAGGTATCTATTTTTTTAAATCATGAATATTAAATATAAATATATTCATTTTGCATGTATTTCCTCCTTAGCCAACCCAATTAAAATAAGATTGGAATAAATGGACATTTCTGTGTAAGCAAAAAATGCACTATTAAAAACAATATAATTTAAAAATTCATAAAATATAGGTTTCCTAACATTCTAAGTTAAAACATAAGGATCATAAGCTGAAAAAATACAGCAGCAGTTTTCCCCAATATCTGGTCTTATGCAAATGTATCCTTACACCACAGTTAAAAGGAATTGAGTCTTTGCCACAAACTCAAATTTCCTAGTTCCTATACCTTTGCAAACTGATGGTGTAAACCATTGATGTTTCAAACTTACATAGAATTCATAGTTTGAAATGTCTAAGGTCTATAACATTGTGTTGTAAAGATATAGGGATTAGAAAATCAGAGTTTGTGGTAAAGACTCAATTCTTTTCTATAACGTAATATTTTTTTAACAATTGGAATTTTTTTGTTTGTAAAAGAACGAGTGACGTGCATTAAAAAGTTTAAAGAGCTGATAGAATTTAAAAGATAGATAGATAGATAACATCCCAGCTTAACCCTAGTAGCCTGGGCACTGTAGGTAACAAATAATATTTGTCATATAATTAAAACAAACAGATTATTTAAAATGATTTACAGGTTCTCTTTTTCTGGCGGTCTACAAGGAGGAACATAAACAATACAAGATGGGAATGAGAAGGTTAGGGGGGGGTAGAGTGCATGTTGAGTGTAAAGTGTGAGTGTGTGTGAAGTGTGATTTATATTGTGCCAGGGGAAATTATAAGTTGAGGGGGTTGATAGCCCGACATTTTTGAGAAAAGAGAGGAGGCTAAAAACTCAGATTCAAAAACAAAACTTAATTAATGAAGATTTTTAATGATATCATCATTTTTGTACTTCTTGATTTACAAAAAAAAATAAAACCATTAACCGACCGATAAATATTAAAAATAATTTCGTTTAATCCCCCCACCCCCCAGCATTCTGATTTCGCCAGTATTGAAATTTTCTACTTTTGGTGTTTCCGTTGTCACATGAACTTCAAGAACTAATGAGAAATCACATTAAAATATTAAAATACAAATTCAAAATAAGATAATATTCAAAACTTTCAAACAAAATACTGCCAAATGTATTTTTGCAGTATGTTGAGCTGGGGTTCCCTTGCGAATATAAATTTGTCAAAAATCTGCAGAATAATATGCAGAAAAAAGGGTAAACATGTCTAAATAGAAACTGGCAAAGGTTAAATATGATTAAAATTGCAAATTTCCCCAGCTAGACTAGTTTCCCCAGCTAGACTAGTTTCTCTAGCTAGACTAGTTTCCCCAGGATAGACTAGTTTCCCCAGCTAGAATAGTTTCCCCAGCTAGATTAGTTTCCCCAGCTATACTAGTCTCCCCAGCTAGACTAGTTTCCCCAGCTAGACTAGTTTCCTCAGCTGGACTATTTTCCCCAGCTAGACTTACTGGAAATCAAAGTTGAAACACAGATGTACTATCTTTTTCAGGTGGAGGGGGGGGGGGCGGGTAATGGTTTTTTCTTTCCATCTCTTTCCGCCTTAATTTCTTTTTAAAATGAAAGGCTTGTTTCGGGTCCTGTGAAGCAGGAATTTTATTTCTGTTTTATGCGAAACAATATTTCCCCCACTAAATTTACGGATTAAAGATTTCCCCTGGACCTTGTCTTAGGGGAAAATTAGTGGTGTCACATTCCCCTAAAATTACCTTTTCATTGTATGATTAGCTCTGGTGCGGAAACGCGCCAAAAAATCGACAAATTACCGCGGCAAAATTCCAGGATTTTAAATTAAATTGCGACATTTTCTTCAAAGAATTCTCAATTCTTGCTTTCCAATGTTATAATAATACAAAGTAGGGGCTGTTTATAAGACAATAAGTCGAATTCCGCAAAAGTTGCATTACTAATAAAGGGAGTGACCGGCAATGTATGTTGAACTGAGTATGCAGTATTGTAGATAACTATTTAGGATTCATAAAACGTTTTTTTTTTAATTATTAAATAACGAAGACGAAAAATAAAGTAAAAATTATGAAGTAAACTATTTAGATCATTTTATTGAATTTCTAATTTGAATTTCTTATGAATTTGTTCGCAGATTTCTACAAATTCTTTAAGTGTCGTCTTTTCAATAATAATTCCAGAATATCTGTGAAAAATCTTTGTGAATAATGAGAGATTATAGAAACTGATAATTGAATAAGATTACTTATTTTCGATGATAAGAGTTAATTTTTATTTTCTTAACCTGTTCCTAAACAACAAATTAGTTTACTGTAGAATTTTGTTTTCATTTTTTGTCTTCGTTATTTAATAATTGAAAAAAACCGATTCTGAAAACGTACCCACCCAAATTCATGATTTTGAACGTCGACTTTGCGCTCTAACTCAGTAAATATACGTCGTAGTAATGTTTAATATGTCTCAAATGAATCCTAAATATTTGTCCACAATACTATATACTCAGTTCAATCACCAAACAATGGCGGTCACTCCCTTTAATATAAAGCTCATTTGAATTCTCTCATCGCATAAAAGTATGAATGTTTTGTTGAGTAAGGTTGGAAATAAAGAAGTTTAATGTTGTGGCGAGGAGATCGTAAACAGTATTATACAAAACTCATGCTCCTCAAGTAACAGTTCGGAACCTAATTCTAACCTAGCATCGATAAATCACATCAGAACCATTTCCCAAAAAAATGCATATTCTCAAAAAAAACAATTTTCAAGAAATACGTATGGGAAATGATATTCGATTAGAGACCTCTAAAAAAATNGGGGGGGGGGGGGTTAAAAAATTTAAGAAAATATAAAAACCTGCAAGAAAACTTTCCCAAAACCGTCTCATAAAGCAGCATTTGTGTTCTGCGCACTCAATAAAGTTAAATATATGCAAAGAATATAAAATGCGGCAAATTTAACTCGAATTACTGAAATAAATTTGAAAAACAAAGATTTCATTTTGTTTGTATGGGAAAGTGACCACAACGAAAAATATCCGTTATTTCCTCGTTTGTATGTTAAACTCAAAGTTTATGTAAAAAAATTGGCTTTACACAGCTCGGCATTTGGGAGGGATGAGAGAGGGAGGGGAGGGGATGGGGTATCGATCGTCATGATAGTAAAACTAAATAAATTGAAACTTAAATTAAAGTTGCAACTCCCCCCCCCCCC